CCATTTTTGCACACCACAGTTTAAGGACAACAAAAACCTGGAACATGTCCTGAGAAGGGCAACCAAGAGGGTAAAAAAATTGCAAATCAAGTCCTATGGAAACTAGATATTGGAACTGACTCATGGCCATTGCAGACCAGCTCAGAGGGCCAGCCTGGGGGGTAGAGTTGGAGTGGGGCAGCTGCACACCGCCTGCCCCAATCCAATCCCGACACCATTGGGATGCCACACAGCTGTACGCACGGCGCATGGTGTCAGGATGCCCTTCCGGCGCAGCATTTAAACACACTGTGCTGAAAGGGCGCAGAAGAGCCGTGGCACTAGTTCTTAAGACAGCCTTTTGCCACCCCTAAAAGGAGCAGCATTTTGGTGCTCTTTTCGGGGCAGCAAAAAGGAGGATCAGAGCTGCGTCATGCAGTTGGCTGGCCCTGATCGGCCACTTCCCAGGGCAGCTCCCTGCCACCCAAAATGGCCAGTCTGCATCAGCCTGGTCTCCCTGTCACCCCAAATGGCCAGTCTGTACAGACAAAATGACAGACTGTATGCCACCCTATAACATGTTCTGTGCAGGTGCACAGGGATGCCGAACTTCAGTCACTTTTATACACAGAGAGTGACAGACTTTATACCAGCCTATGACATGTTCTGTGTAGGTAGGTGCGCAGGCATGCAGAGATGTGTTCCTGTGCATGTACACATGTGTCTGAGAGAACAGAAAAATAAATTAAAGCAACCACTGCTGGCCCATGCGGTTGCTCCGTCTCCCTTCGTGGCATCCTTGGGGCCAGCGGTGCAGTTGGTGGGGCTTCAATATGGACTCAGAAAAACTGCATCAACTACCCCCCCATGCTGTTGCTCTGTCTCCATTAGGGCATCCTCAGGGCAGGCACTGCAGTTGTTGCAACTTAGGGAAAAGGCAGCTTCATTTCTCCTTTTCATGCCCATCTGTACAGCCCCTAAGTTTGGTCTGGAGAAGAGAAGATTGGGAGGCACTGGGTAATCAACAGTGGTTAATAAAGATGAATAGGTGGGCTGTTGAAGAAATGGACTACAGCAACAGACAGCTAAATATCTCTAACCAAGGTCATCCTTTTGGGATGGTACAGTTTTGAAGTCACCATGCTAGAGCAAATTCCCAGCTGAGGTACTAAACATAGCTAAGGCTGCCTAAAGTAATGCACAATTGCATGACCAGGCAACAGCAGTAATTGGCAGACATGGGCAGGCAGGCAGGTTTCGTATGTTTGGAGTGTGGGTCCAACAACACAGATTGCATATGTTAACATGTTAGGTACGTAAAAACAATAAAGCCATGTCAGTCATTATCCCAGTAGACAGACCTACAACATTTGATATGTAAAGTCTGATTACTAAATATATATAGAGAGAGTCTTTCTTTATAGCAAAAAAAAATCTTTTCTGGGTTCAGTTAATTCAGTATCAATCTAAGTTGAAGTAATTCAGCATCAATTGATAAACTATAGTCCAGCCCACCACTCCCTCCAAACTGCAGTCCAGGTTGTGGATGGCTCCATCTGACTCCAGTGTAACACAGACATACAGCTGAGTATAATTTTCATACTGACATAAATGACAATATAATCAATACAAATACACACATACACACACACATACACATCCATATGGAAAATAATTGCTACAGGGCATACAAAGAAGTTAATTTATGCACAGGATCTGCTGTTTTCCTGTTGATAAACATTTTGGACATTTTGCAATGGTAAGCAAAATTGTCTTTATTCCTTTGTAAAAAAAAAAAAAAAAGCTCTTCCCAGAATGCTAGCGCATTTTGTTTCATTAAACAAAATAAGGAAAGAAACGCATTTTGAAAAGAAATGCAAATTTTAGTGAAAGACACCCCCCAACGAGTCGGGAGGGGTTTCTTGTTGTGCTGGCCAAATAAGGACAGGAGACACCTAGTTGGTTAAGGAACTCAGGGGAACAAGTACACCTTCGCTCCTTGTCCAATCGGGTATTTGATTGTGGCTCCAAGTCTCGCGGTGTTATTGGTCTCGTGAGACTCATGCTCTTGTTTCCCCTATCTTGAAAAAATCTTCTCTTGACCCCTCT